AATAAAGCAACCTTGATCTTCATTGCATCTATTGAAGCAACTCATATGTGATATAATTTTGGTAATGTCCACAAGACATGCCTCTATTTAGAATAAAGCTCTACAAGAAACAAAGTCAATCACAAGATGGAACAGATGCAAAGACTTATTTTTGACCTTATATGCTTTTTGGTCTAGGTCCTATTCTCTACCAATAACATTGTTATCAATGTTTGCCTGTTAGAAGAATTTAAAAATATTGAGTACTTATTCACATGTCAACATGAATTTTTTGTTATCATCATTGAAGAACATGTCACTAATAATAATATCCACAATGTCTTGATTGATTGTTAACATCAATGCATTCTTATGATTGAAATGACCTACAAGAATGTTTTTTAAGTTTGTACAATTAAAGAACTACTTCTTCTTGGCATCAAGCCTATATTCTGTCCATGCCTTGGTGTACTACAACTTCATGTGCATCGTGATGTTGTTAATGTGGAATAGAATTGTAAACAACTTCATATTCATTATTCACTAATGTTTATGTCTTATGAGATTACATTCTTCAGAGCCAAGCTTTTTACAAAATAAGCAATACATTGAGGCAATGCCATCCATATTTTTATCTTATGGATTAAGCACAAGGCCAAACTTGATAGCTTTTCAAAGTACCTATAGCTCTTTAATCATTGTAAAATTGACCAACATGCACTAAGATATGACTAATGTGATTGCATAATTGTTGTAAGGCACATCTTCAACTGTATAGAAGAAGTCTATTGTGGCCTTATTTTAGTGCACTTTGCAAAGCTTATTTTAAAAAATGAAGGAATTTATCTAAAAAATCTTAATTAAAGGTGGCTTGATTTTAAGTGAATGAGTGAATGAGTAAATGATTGAGTGAGTGTTCAATTTAGTTATACAAACATATATACAATCAAACAAAGATGATATAATTCATGGTTGCCTTTTCAATCCAATTTGCATAGGATGCCTTCTTAATCCATTGCCTCTGCATATACATCAAAGTAGAAGTGATGCCACTATAAAGTTTGATTTTAGAAACAAAAATGACATATGAAGAGAAGAAGCAAATAAATGCTAATTCTTTCAACATCCACACTTTTAGAATATATATACATATATATATTTCTTTCTTTCTTTCTTCTTTTAATTACTAGAGATGTAGAAGTAGCTAAACTACAAACTAGATAAATAAGACAACATTATTCTTTGAAAAAATATTTCTTCAATCATTTTTTTATTTTTTCCCTTCCTCTTTTTGGTATTTCTTTCTAAGAAATGAAGATCAATTTTTAAGGAGATATTTATTAAAGAATTTTTAATAGGATCATATCCATAAAAATAGTAATAATAAATTTTAATTATTTTTACAATAACTTTGATATTTTATTAGAATTATAGCAAAATAAAATACTTAAAATTATATTACAATAATATAAAATACATCTGGATTTAAGAAAAAAATAAAAATGGTTGTCTACAGTAAAAAAATTATTAAAAATTAGTTTTTAAATATATATATATATATGTATATATATATATATATGTATATATATATATATATATATATATGTATATATATATATATATATATATACATACATATATATATTTAATATTTTTTATCTTATTTTTTTCATAAAAAATAATATAATAAAAAGTTATAAACTTAAATTTTTTATCTTAAAATTTTTTATATTTTTATAAATAAACAACTAATCAACTATTAAGATCTATCCATGTATATAATTTGAAACTTAAAACTTCAACTTTAATAATATTCATTCACACTGTAGTAATTTTTTATTTTTTTTATATTACCACTTTATAAATTTAGAACTCAGCACAAGGTTTTAAATTAGATCTATGGTCTAAAGATAGAACAATTATACTTCTCAATTTTATGACAATTTCTAATATAGTCACTCTATTACTAATTCTTTATAAAAATCTAAACATGTCTAAATTATATATATATATATATATATATATATATATATTCTAACAATAGATTTATGTATTTTTTATTTAAGATATTTTATATGTTTCAAAGATAGTAAGTTATATATATATATATATATATATATATATATATGTATATACACACACACATATACATATTACTTCGTTTTTTGTATAATTATTTAATTTATTATTTTTATATATTTAATTTTATAATAATTCATGTAAAAAAATATATTTTTATTTTTTTTATAAGTTTTAATCTACTTTATGAAGTCTACTATAATAGATCTTAGTACAACCACATAATATAGCTTAGTAGAAATAAATAAATAAATATATATATATATATATATATATATATACATATATATATCACATATATTTCAAAGCTTAAAAAAAATTGATTTATAATTTTTGCTTCTATACACTCTTACTGCTACCATCGAAAAAATTTAGGAAATTTTTAAGACATACTTCATCCATTATAGGTATAGGTTTATAACATGTATGATTAAGACACCTATTAGACCACATTTAATTACTAAATTTCTTAGATTGTGATTTATAAGCAAGGTAAATATTGCTACAAAAATATATATATATATATATATATATATATATATATATAATTAAATAATATAATAAAATCTTAAAGAAATATTATCATTTTAATAAATTAATTATTATTAACAAAGAAATAAATCCAAATTTATATTTTTTTATATAAAAATTGGATCTAAACCATTCATTCAAAAGTTATAAATTACTTCATTTGTTACAATTACCAAATTGTGCATTTCATACAAATATGAATAATATCATATTAAACTAAAAAGGATAATTATGTATTTGATTTAACTATATTTTAACTTATTTTGGTGCCTGATACATCCATTTTTGTACATACCAATCATTTTTAGTCTAAGTGATATCAATGTAGATATTTTGCATAGGGGTCACAATTAAAAAGAAAGATGGCTTGCATTGTAGTTGTTTTAGATTAAAATCCAAATGTCCTCATGAAGAAGTTTCAAACATAGCACTTTCACAAAACCAAATAATTGAGTTTCAACACTTAATATTTCCAAGATCATTTGAAATATCAAATCCAAAATATTACAGTTCAAAAATTATTACCCCCTAATATTATCCTTGATTCAAACTCTATCACCTTTAGTATGAAGTCAAAGAAGAAAGAGAGCTAAGGCAAGCAACATGGTTTTTGATATTTGACCCACCCCTCTTTTGATATTTTGATCTCAAAATCACCCACCTTGTGTGATGGGTGATTAAGTGAAGTATCTAGTGATATTTTAAAATATTACTGGACATGCTCAGCTTGCATCACGGGTGAAATATCATCCAAAAAGACCATGTTAGAGACCTCCTATTGAAGCATGTGGCCTCACTTGTAGTAATCAGTGAAGACATGCAAATTTGGATCTTTCAGCTCCTCACAACTGCCAACAAGTTGCGTTCCATTTAAGATGGGTTGCTTTGTTTTCATGCAGCAATAGGGTCTGGTAATTTTTTCGAGCTCCCCAGGATTGAAGATGATGACCTTCTAGCTGTTGATATTCATTATGATGATTCTGTCCTCTCTATTCGCATGAACAGATGAGATAGCTTTCAGCCTTAAGATGGTCCAAAATGTAACCATCAAAAGATTAGGCCTATCCTCCTAGTATTCTGGTGCCAATGACGAGAGCTTTGGAAATGGACAGCTGATGGAAAATACCATCAACTCTTGTCTCTTGCCCTCTGCTTAGCTGACAAAGATCTTCAGGATTTGCTTCCTCTAAATATGTAAGGTTTTGTTTCAGCATCTGTGTTGTAAGCTAAAGAGTATAACAAGGAGTAAGGAAATCGACCACATGTTTACTATAAACGTTCAGTTTTCTCATTTGCTTCAATTCTATTTCTTCTTGATAATTTTTAAAATCCAAGGACACTTCAGTGGTTTTTAATTTCACTAGTGGAAAGTTTTATAGAGGAGCAGTGGAAAGTCAGGGTTACTCAACATCTGCTTACCTGCACAGTGATGCATTTAGTCCCTTTTGTGCTGTGTTACCAAAAGCACATAACTACAGGGAAACAGTTGACCGTATGTACCTTCCATACATGCTGCAATTTTGAATTCCTATAGCATAATCCTCTGCAAGCAATAACCTGTGTGGGTTCAAAAGGTCTTTCCATTAGTTTCAATGCCAAGCTTCTTGCCATTAGTTCCAGTCTTATTTGCAGAAAACTTAAAAATTGCCATAGAACCTTTCCAAGAACATTACAAAATTTCAATATTGCCAAACCGATCAGTGAATGTGACACGTGCTTGTGGTGGAACCAGTTATGATTGGGATTTGCAACAGCTGAGCAGTAGGGCTTGACAATTTCCACTCGAAGAAACAGATCATCGAGAAGAAGCACATGTTACGACCCGATACAAAACTATCTCTATTACCTAGATAATTTGATTTTGGGCAAAAAACATTCGCACCATGCAACTAAGTCACTCTGTTCGGTGTTTTCAAAACAAGCTGCTTGGAGCACCATTTAATTGCTCAAGGCTACGAACATGAAGTGTGATTAAGAAAGTATCACCAGCTCCTTATCTTGCAAGAACCACGTGAGTACACAAGCATACAGGCTCTAGCCAATCGTACAACTGATCGTCAACTACGACTCGTCATGAGGATTATCTGCAACTCGCAGACTTGTTCGTCTTCAAAACTGGTCCCAGTTGTGCCTTCGTCCAACGGATATTTATTTTGAAGTGGTCCCAGTCCTAGGGCATCTGTGCATGTACAGGTGTCGCTGCAGATTTACACATTCGCAAGAGTCGGAATTTGCAAGGTTGAGCTTCTTGGAAGACCAAAAATCTCCATGAGGTTGTGGGCAATGAGAAGTCCAACACCTCTTTACCTAACACCCTGTTCACAGTATTGTTATTGGCTGCTATCCGTGTCATGCGCATAACCAATTCTCAATCGAAGTAACAGAGCCACAAAAGGAAAACGCACACAGCGTACAGAAACGACATGCGCAACAGCAGTGTCGAAGTACTTCGTTGCTGCCAAAATAAGTCGAATATTGAGCTCTTCAGGCAAGTACCAATTTACATAGCTCTCCTCTATCCTTAATTCTACAATTTGTGCGAAAAATCAGTTGCCTAAGCCTATAGTAACCTAAGCTAGCAGATCACGCAATCTCTTTTGAGGATATAATTACATGAACTCATCCAGATGCTCCTCTGAGTAGAGAAGACAGGGGTCTGCCCCTAAGAATGTTACGACATCACGGCAATGGCTAGCTCGAACTCATCTGGATAATAGATCAAAAGGAACCGAGGTATTACGTTAGACTCTCCAGATATCTCAAATTTTGATGAAACGTCGAAATTCACCCTGATCTCGTGGGATACACGTAGTTTGCGGGGCATTCTTCATATGTGCGAATATACATTGCCTTCAGTAATTATCGAGAAAACCCTCCGGCATGTCTTCATAAATGTCCTCTTCTTCTTCAAAATAGTTGTTCTCATTCTCAAACTTCGAGGTTGACAGGGGTTGCACAAAGGCGGGAGGCACTTTCGCCTTCTTTGTGGTTTGCTGCATGGTATCCTGTCTGAAGCCATTCTCAATATCATTATAATTTCTTCCCACTTCAGCTGCAGTGTTCTTTCGAGTGTTTTTCCATCCCCCATCTTCAACTTCCCTCCGCCGTTTGGATGCTGTTGCTGATCCTGAATTACCATTATCGAAGCTCACATCTTCACCGCCTGACAGGTGCTCATTAACAGTTTGAGCAACTACCTCCAAAATCCGGGCACCATATTTTTTGCTTTTCACCCTGGTTTAAGAAAAAATGAATTAAAACTCAAATGAACTTCACATTTATGATATTCGACATACAGAATCAAACAGAAAATAAGTAAACAACACGTCACGCACGGTAACCCAGGCATCTCATCACATGAATTAGAATTCACCTCATCCTCAGGTTTAAAGTTTTAGTAGAAACACACAAAAAAACTCCGACTTGGACAAGCACAAAAGTTTCGCATTCACTTGGCAGATTAGGTGGCGCAACAAACTAGTACTTACTTCCCGATGCCGTTAATTTCCAAGAGTTCCTCTGTGGTCTTCGGCAACTTTTTGCTTATGGACTGAAGCTCTCCATTCCTAATTTCATGAAGAAATAAAGCACAGCCGAGTTACCGATAAGTACGAGAAGAATAAAACCGCACCAACTATGAAATTTTCCAGATCTAGAAATGAACCACGTAGTGAATAAGAGAGTGGAATAAATACCCCATAATGTGATATGGCATAAGATCCCCTCCGGCTTCATTAACAAGTACAATACGAAGTCTCTGAAGAGCAGAAAAAACCTTGCTTGACAGCATCTGAGAACAGCCAAGATTTTAAATCGTACATGAGGAATCAACGAGAACCTCTGCATGGAACTTCGAGCCATTGTTTAAAACAGACAAATTCAAATTTCCGGAAAATACGGTTACATTCATAAGGACAAACTAATTTCGAGCTTGCAAACGCTACAGACAAATCACTCACAGGATCAACTGGAGCTTGAGGAACTGAAACCACTTCATCTTGCGCTGGAGTTCTAAGTCCGACAGGCAGAGAAGATTTCTTAGCTGGGGTTTCTGATCTCTCCGGTCTGTCCGGTTTCTTAGCCGCTCGAAACCTGCAAAAAGGTACGGGGTTGAAAACTCAAAATTTCAACCTTTTTAAGCCCACCACAAAAAAATTTAGCTAACGTGGCCACTCAGTTCAGAAACGGAGGTTCGAAATTATTATAACAGATAGTCCTAATGATGCTCACCGTCTTCATTCAGAAAAAGGTGTGAATTCCTGGAAACCTAACGGTTTACGATGTAAACCAATGAACAGCTGAAAAATACCTGATGGATATTTTAAGTCGACCTGAAACAAGCTCTCTTGCTTGCATCTCGTTCACCTGAAACCACAAACCAGGACAAATTAGGTTCCCTATAATACATGAACAACAATGCAATCTGCCCAGGTAAGGGAAAGAATTGAGATTCTGGGTGGGTAAGTTTTGAGAAGAACACGTGTATCTATCCAAGTTGGAACCTGGCAAAGAACATAATCTAGCTCTACTCTGATTTAAACTAGGTGGAGGCCAGTGATTTAAGCAATCATTTTCTCAAACCAATCATTAAATGTCCACATATATGACATCCATTTACTTCACAAAAATTATTTTCAAGCCCACAACTAAAAGAATTAAGAATATAGCTGGCTTCTTCAAAATTTAGGAATTGAAGACAACCAACCTTGATGATGGAGGATAAACCACCATAATAGTCACTTTTGTTAACATCTTCTCGAAAGATATTTCCAGTAAGTAGCTGTTGCATGATTCGCTCCACTTCAGTCTTCGTAAACTTCTTACCAGCTCCATGCAGATCAAGCTGGTCATGTCCCATTTTCTTAACCTGAAAGTACACAAATCGATTAAGATTTCAAGTTGAGAATTAAGGAAAGGGACAAAGAAAAAAAATCCACAAAAGAAACCACAAATTGCAGTACAACCAAATATGTAGATTGAAGAGCTTGCGAGGAAAGAACTAGAAGTAACAGCGTCTCAGCTTTCCAACTACTTTCTGGTCATTTCGATACATACTTGCTGATTGAGAGAACCCCGAAATACATCTACGATGTGAGTCATTGAGGAGCGTTGACCCATTGCACCGACTAACTGCACCTGCGTTCATGAATCAATCAATACGTCAGTACTGCTACTACATTGAATGAATATCAAAACCTCTCTTCAATTAGGAGTGCAGTGAACATATTTGAATGAAAATTGATACCATGAGGGATCGCTGACATATAATCATTTGAACATCAGTACATTTTCAAGGAAGACTTTCACTTTGAGTCATTCTAATTCCACTGTTTTCACTCATTACGATCCACTTTGAGTCGTAGAGATATTTTATCAGCAAACATCATTGAACAGCTCAAGAGACGATGTGATTCCAAGCTTGCACAAAGTGACTAGAAAAACGTAAAATATGAAGCTTCTATGCGGCGATTCTTACAAGTTGTCTGGCTGTCTCACTGACATCCTCTTCAACAGAACCAGAGTTCCCCATTCTGGCACAATTATCACAAGTTCCCTTACAGCTAGAGACGTCAAAATCCATCTCACCAAAATGGGCAAGCTGCAAAGATCGCCGACAATCAATGTCGTTTTGACAATAACCAATCTGCATACAGGAAAAAATGTCAGGGTCATACGATCAATATTCATGTTTCTTTAGACTTTCACCCACAGACTCCAGTAATCCAGTAAGAAACAACCTCAGAGTAGACGAATACTATAAAGACTAACGCTTAGACAACCAAATAACAACCCACGAATTCAAATGTTTGATAAAATATAACAAGCCAAGGCATTCATCTGAGTAATGACCTGGAAGTCGGGTAATCGTAAGACCAGATTCTTCTTTTTTGTGACCAAAAACTATCCTGACCAAGTATCAAACAAAATTTAAAATGGAATAAGAATTAAGCGGTTGATCTTTTACCATGCGATTCAAATTGTCGAGGTTGGTAGAAAGCTGGTTGGATGTGACAGTATTGTGATTACGAAACGATGATCCCGTAGAGCCCAGCTCTGCTGCACCTTGGGTTAACATGTGCTTCAAACGAATCTGCAGTCATTCAAAAATGTTAAGAGCTACCAATCGCTTACTAACAGCTGCTCAAAACGTTATCAAAATTGATTAAGACAAATGTCTTGACAATTCACTGAGCGTAGATTCTGCTAATATCAGACACAGATAGCCATAGTAACTACAAAATAAAATTGGAAACAGACACTGTCACGGTGAAAGTAAATCAAAGAAAACTTACAGAGTCCGCATAGGTGTAATAGAGTATACAAGATGCTGGTAAGTTATCTCTACCAGCTCGCCCCGATTCCTACCAAATAAAGAAGTCGTGTTCCACAAATAAAATGCGTATGTTGCATATTTGAGATCCTAAATGCTAATTTAATGACTGAAATTAGATGCACAAACGTTGACGACTTAAAAAATAGGGACATTGAGAATTAAAAGGACTATCTAACGGAAACCACCGAATGGTACAAGTCAACCATTTGTTTCTCATTATTCCAAGAATGAAAACTCCGAACCCCCAGTAACAATTGAAAACATCACAAGGATTAATAATCATAAGAAATCTACAACATCCAATACCTGGTGATAGCCCTCAAGTGACTTGGGAAGTGAATGGTGAATCACAAAACGCACATCGGGCTTGTTTATACCTATCACCCATTATCAATGCGGAGTTAACAACACCTTCTCAAAATCACGAAAAATGATATAATGTGATCTGCTGAGTAAGGGCTGCTAAGAAATTTTCTCTTGAGGTTGCAAGGAGATATATACCCATGCCAAAAGCAACCGTTGCACATATTATATTGACTTCATCTTTACTCCACATGCGTTGCACATAACTCCGCTCGTCTGGATCCATTTGTCCATGATAGAAAGCAACTTTGTGACCAAATTCCTGTAGGCGGAATTACAAGTAATTAAGCAAAAGGACAGAGGGTCTTTCTAACAGCTGTGCAATCTTGCACAAAAACATTGACACAAAAACTCAACCTCTGATTGGTGGGAAGGAAAAACTGGGACAAAAGATGGAACTGAAAATTACCTTTACATTGCGGAATACCTTAAAAAGGTCAAAGAAGTATGAAGGTATGTTGGTTTAGATGAACTTACCCGTAGTTTTTCGGTCACTTTCTCACAGTCACTTCGCGATAGACAGTAGATAATTCCAGATTCATTGGGGTGCCTCTCCCTTATAAACTTGTCAATGTCTTCAAGACATTTCTTTGACTTAGGTAAAACCTCGTATCTGTAACAAAAGATAACCATTACGCCTGATTTGCACTTCGCTATAACTGATCCCACTCACTGAACACAGAGAATTCATACTTCAAACTAAAAACGTACTAAAAGTTATGTCCAATGTCCATCGAATTATAAAACAAAATCTGTAGTCATTATCATAAAATTCTGAAAACAGCAAATCAATGATTGATCTCACATGTACACAATTAAGATGCCACAACAATGGATGAAAAGTTTCCAAAATACGAATACATATACAAATTTAAAACTAACAAGGGTGAGTAATCACCTCAAGTTGGGTCGATTAAAAGTCTGTCTAAAGATAATACAGCGTGTCAGCTTGAGAGCTCGAACAACATCTTCTTTGACACTTAAGGTAGCAGTCGCTGTCAGAGCTATCAAGGGTACGTCAGGAAACCTTTCTTTGAAGACGCCAAGATTCTGTACACATAGATGTTTGTAAGTAGATATAACAACATGATTCCAACGTCATCGCATGTCTTGAATACACTCAAATACCACATAAAACATGGTAAAACCATGTGGCAAGTGCAGGTTAAAAACATACCTGATAATCAGGACGAAAATCATGACCCCATTGGCTTACACAGTGAGCTTCATCAACCACAATTCGAGCAAGTAATCTCTGATCATACAGGCTTGTAAGATGCTGCGACAGTCTATCGCTCCTGTCAACACAAGAAACCTTCTCAAAAGTTGAGAAAGCACATCTAAAGCTACTGTAAAGCCTAAGATCATTAAAGAATACAATCAATTCGGTTCTAGGGGGATGTCCTGATACGAAAGAGGACTGGAACAGAATATAGAATCCACGGTCGTTTGAACAAAAAATCCCACATCCCAGAACTCCCTCCAGAGTAAAAGACAGCATTCATTCTTAGGCAACCGTCCCTGAGCTGTTTAGTTCATAAAAGCCTGTTAGGGTTGAGAAACTGGAAATGAATTGGATCATAGCAAGGAACGTTAAGACCCACCTAGCAATTTTCTCAGGCGTTACGTAGAGCAACTTGTAAACCCCTGCATCGAGATTCCTTAGAATTTCATTCTGCTCTTGCCACTCCATTGTGCCACTCAGATATGCAGCAGGTATGTTAGCCTGTCGTAAAAATAAAAATAAATAAATAAATAAATAAATCCACATTAATTGAGGTGTATAAGCATATGACAGACGCCTTGTTGAAAATATACAGCAGAAACCCACAAAGTAATTGACAGTGTGCACATATATTGCATACAGATCAAAAGTAATTGCCCAAGCACCCCAAATAACACTTTCAGTCAAAACACGCTGGAAGAGAGTGATCGTTAAGAGTTATCGCACCTCTGAAAGGTGCATAATTTGGTCCATAATGAGAGAGACAAGAGGAGAGACCACAAGTGTCACCCCTGCAGAACAAATAGCAGGTAGCTGCCAAAAATTGTTGAATTTAGTAAAGAAGCATACTCATGAAAACTACATCTGAGAGTATACTCTCAATAATATATCTTTCGTGTGGAAATGACAATGTCTTAAGACTAAGAGAGAGTAGTGCACACCATAAAACGACTGTTTGCATAATCAGAAAGCAGAAATGTGTTTCTGTGGAGGGAGATTAGTAATTTGAAAAACTGCACAACTTTTGGCAGCTACCTGATATGTGAGACTCTTCCCTCCACCAGTAGGCATCAATACAAAGACATCTCTACCACTCATAGTGGCATTGATAATTTCCCGTTGGTTAAGTCTAAAGGATTTGTTTCCGAAAAATTTCTTATTGTTGACCTGCATATGAACAAAGATATACGATAAAGTCATATTTCAATCACCACCTATCACCAAAACACCATTGCACGATTCTGAAATTACGTACGACAGAGCAGAATATTTTGAGAATAGCACGGATTGCTCAGGCAAAAACTTCAAAGAGAAAGCCGACGCAAACAGAAGGAATTTGCATCTTTGAGAACATTCAACTCTTACCACCAAATCCCTTGACCAGGGAAAGTCATTTTTGCTAAACTGCATCTCGGACGACCCCTCGGAGTAGTTGACATCTACAAATCGTGGAGGTCCACCTTGAACTTGAAGGCCAACACGTGGGCCATTACTATCAAAGGAAGATGGAAATCCTCCTGACGCTTGATTTGCACCAGTATTGTTCTCCCAAGGCACTGGAGTGAAACTTGGTTGCCTGAAGTCAGTCAGACCTCCCCCGCTAGGTGCCGTTGAGCTCGATAGTCCATACGTTGGACGTGCAGATGCTGGATTAAAGTAATCCGCAGCTGGACCAGTGGGAGTGGAAAATACATTCTGTTGATTGGATGGGTGGCCAGATCCAAAAGCATTATAAGGAGTAGCTGGGGGGAAGTTAGATCGACATTGATTCATTAGAGAGGTTGGATTCTTGAAAGCTTCTTCGAGAGCTTTAATATCTTTGTTGAGCTCGGTCCTGACATCACAAACCCAACTAAGTCACTAGAAGCTTCGTAGATATGGTCTGCTGATCACATGCATTTCACTCTCAGCTACGTTTCTGACTATCAAGAATTATTAATATAATGCCTCTGCCTGGAAGACGAGTTAGAGAGTTAGAGAGTGAGAGATAAAACAAAAAAATAATTTAAAACTAAAATTGAGAAAATTAAAAATCACCTTTCAAGGCGAAGTTCCTGAACACGTTCTGGACTAAGCTCATCTCCATTATCTAGAAGTTCATTGATTATATAGATCAACTTGTCCTTCATTTCTTGGAGGTGAAAACCTGCTTCTCCACAACAATGAACCTGCATGCAGGGAATAAGTGAATACCACTATTGTAACACGACGTTGGCAAGAATCTACCAATAATTCTCGCAATATCACTAACCTGGGCCAATGCTAAATCCGTCACATAACACTAACAGAGCAGGGAATTAACTTCTAATTAACAAATGACCCCTTAAAAGTGCAGGATTAACAAATAAAAAAGATAGAGCATGACAAGGGTTGTAATAGCTTGGAATATCTCTTTACTTCTGTCTAATTTATCGTAAGCACAAGGAAAGTCTACGGTTAACATTCTCCGTTTCTAAAATTTTCGAGGTAACCTACCTCGACCCCATGTGAACAGAGCTTATGGGCAGATGCTGCATTTTCTGCCTTAACAACATCCTCAAGAGAACCGCGCACTTTCGATTGCACAGAAGGCGGTGTGGTACTCCCAACCCTGTTCGTCACTTGGGTGCTTTGCTGAGAGCAACTCTTCACGTAGTGTTCAGAAACAATCTGATCAAGATCGATCGCCTGAAAAAACACCATAAAATACAGTACCGACATTTACGCTGAACACGGTGAGAACCAGGTTGTCACTGGACAAACCACTCTTCATAAAAACGAATTTCTTCAACCATCAGATACTCCACTAGCAAGAGGAAAACTGCACTAAACATCAATGCAAATTTTCCTATTTCCGAAAGTGATATCAAACTCGAAAAGCTGATAAAAAGTTGCACAAATAACGGTACCTGCAAGAGATCATCGTCATCCTCCTCGAAAGGAATGTATTTCTCACTCTTGCTCCTATTTGGCAGGTGTTCCGGCTGCAGGTCTACATTACTATGATTTGGCATGCTAAATGCAGGAGTAAGTGCGCCGTCTCTTTGACGGTTTCCCCTAAAATGAGAGTTGCTGCTATTTGTAGGAGTTTGCCTGTTCACAACATTATATGAAGCAAGAAATCAATTAGTCCGAGATCGTTGGCATGTGGTTATTGTTCAACCTCGGCAGGCAAGTTATCCAATTGTTTATTACAACCATCTGTCACATGATTAAACAAAATGTTTTTAGAACACACAAGGAAAAGTAGATGGACAACAAACCTAGGTGGCAGCCCAGGGACATGGTTAGAAAAGAAATCTGCAGAACTTGCATTCGCATTCGTGGACAAGCACCCTCGAGCTGATTGTTCATCAAAAAACTTATCCGAAGGCACCGGAGCAGGACCGAAGTTTTGAGGGCCTGTTGTTTGTGGAGACTTGTTTCGTAATAAGGTATCTGATTGTCCTTCATGAGTACCAAACTTCGACATGCAAGAGCTGGACTGGTTTTCCAGCTTCCGACCAGCATCTTTGGTGTGAAATTTGCTGTTGGCGTCGTCTCCGCCCTTTCCATAATTAGAAAATGATTGCTTGGGCTGGTAAGAAGAGCCTGTTACGAACTTCTGAGCACTAGATGCATCAATAGGACCAGTAACTCCTGGTTGTACACGATTTTTAGGAATTACTGGCGGCGAGGATAAGCTCTTCCAAGCCTGTCACAAGAACATCAAGAATGTGGTTTGAGTTAGAGTTAACATGTATGCACCTAAACTGGTAGGTTTCTATGCTCAATTGCATTACGAGATTAGACCCTTCAATCAAAATAGTGATTAACAAGCCAGACAATCTAACCTGAGAAGCAACATGTTTCAGTTGCTGATCAAGAGGTTGATGTACAAACTTGGTCAGCCTGCCATCGGTAAGAAGAAGCAAATGTTATCGCGAAAGCTAGGAAAGCAAGATGAACATGATCTCCATTAAATCCAAAAACAAGCATATTTGAAACAAATCAAAATAATTCACACATGCTGTTTCTCCAATCAACAAAATATCCAACCTCAGACAAGTGCCAGGCCCTCCTGCAGCATTAGGATTCTGCCCTGGCAAAGAAAAGAGAAAACCCGCCTTAAGGGTCTCTCTCAACTTCAATGGGTCCTGAAATCTGTATAGATACTCAGAAAAATTGTTTTGAGGACAATTGCTGTCATCTTCCGAGTCTTTCTTTAACCTGAGTTTCCTGCATAAGCAGAAGACCATCGTCAATAAGAATCAGACTCAACATTAGTGCAATTCTCTGGGATAAGCGCGCACGAACACCAACAAAACAAATTGCTCGACACATCGAGTGTTCAACTTGCAAGGAATCGTTGCTTGACCACATGGTCCACTAATAAGTTATTGTCTGCCTTGACTACACGTAAAACAAAACACAATTATCCGAATACCCGGAAGGTAGAACCAGACTTAGGATGCAACAGACAATTCCAAGAGGCTCGTACAGGAAGATGAAAGGGACAATGATACAATCATTTAAATGTTAGTAGAAAAACATGATGCATATCTAATACAAAACACATGCTGTTAAGTTATGTGCATAAGATGACCCGATACTCGCGAACGAATCTTATTTAGTCAAAAACTGTGATGGTATCTAAATCACTGCACAGAATTTCTAATCTTGCTGGCGTCATGGTTGATGTGTCAGGCCGGGCCATGATTTGACTAAAATTAAGACTTTATGCAGGCGCTTCCCGCGATCACTGAAAAACCACATTCAAAATTGTGTGGAACCTCGGGCAAAGTGCAATAAAGTCAGTGGCCCTCCTCGTGCAAATGCAATTAAACATACTGCACGTCCTAGACCTAATGGATGTAGACCAACAATATCAGTATACTAGCAAGAAGCCAATAGACAGTAGTAGAATTATTATTATTATTATTATTATTATTATTATTGTTATTTTTTGATCTAGTCGCAATCATACTACCGAGTATCTAAAAATCTGCTATGCGCGATCAGCTATACTGAACCTTATAAGTTGTCCATGACATCAAATGGACCCGTCTGTACCGGTGCAGCATTACCATCCACCAAAGGCCAATTTCGTAAGAGCATGCTAGATATCAAAAGTTATTCCAAGGCTACTACTTGTAATATTAGTCCAAGTCTCACCATTGCAAAACATGGCATAGGAGCCCAAAAGTAGACAAGGAATGCTAGTAATTCAGTGACTTGTCCTGCTTCCTTTGTCTAACTGGTTAAATTCTTCTAAATCCACTGAGGAGATCATAGATACAACAAGGCCACGTGAAAAACCTTTGCATTGTCGACACTCTGAGTATTTCGCATTGGCTCCGCAAAATTCACTACAAAATTGTTGCAATCGTCTCCGGAACCAGAAATCCGCCTAGGAATATACACCGTGTCGAAAAAGCCACAGGCCTCGCCTTAAAACAGCATACGCCTCCAAATTCACCGTTAAAGACGCAGACAATGAGGCGGTGTCCCGGAAAAAAATTGGCAGTTCAACAAGTTTCGATTACAACTGCAATCGTCACGAAAAAATATCCACAACAGCAATGTCTCTAAATTCTAACGCACAACCGCTCCGTCAATCACCAATCAAGACGGTAATCGAACCTCGACCATATGCAGAAAGCCTTCAAGTACGCCAAATGCCTCGTAGAGAGACTTAGGAGGTGGACCTCACAAAACCTAAGCTCTAAGCACTCGGGAAAGCAAAGTCGCAGCTGCAGAGTAGTCACCAAGAAGGTGACCACAAAAACCTTCGCAAAACTCCAACCACACTACAGAGAACCCTAGAAATACCAGAATTGAATCACCGACTCGGAATGAACAAGAAATGAAGGCAGGAGTGAGTAGAGAGTGTGATTCGAAGGGAATCGTAGAAAAAGCAAAAATCAGAAAACAGGCTCTTCAAGGCTAATTCGACCGCACACGGGAAAATTCCATTCGAGGCAAGCCCAAGCATTTGCGGTGAGGGAGACGACCGACGATTCACCGGGTGATGAACCAAATGCAGAGGTAAGGACCAGGCGAATCACCGGGTCGAGGAGACGTTGCGGTGGGATCTTCCGAAGAATCAGGTCGGGGGGGAGTTATCGAACGACTCCTTTCAAACGCCTCAGACTTGGCGGGAAAGTCTGAGTGCGCAGAAGAGCTGAACACAGAAACGTGGGAACACTTCATATTGGCTGGTTACGTTCACATGTCAGCAGTGCAATTCTCCTAGGTGTACTTTCATTCATCTATGATGACGACGCTCATCGTGCAATCGTCATCCATCCTCAGCTCAAATCTGAACGTGTTCTGCCTTGAGCAATTTTCTTAGGATTCCTCGGATTCTCGGCAGTAGAAGTCAAACCTTCGGATCATGCATGCCGTCGAAGCGAAGCAAATGCTTCGAGACAATCTCGTAGCCATTGAGCAGGTTGATTGCACCAGAAAACGTGAATTATACTACAAATGAGCCATTTAAGTAGAGCACAACATTGATTGAGATGTGCGAAAAGAGCATCAACTGCGTAACATTCTAGAATCAGCGCATTACACCAGCGGATGCTGTAGAATAGAGAAGACTACTCCGTTTCATTTCTTTCAAATGAAGATACTAAGTATCCTTGGCACACCAAGTGATCTACACTGTTACTGAAAAGTTATCAGTGAGATGAAAAAGCCGAGTTCCTAGAGTCGTTGTTCGAGCATTCCAAATTCGAACAGTGGATATAGGCAGTTGCTATGTCATTCCCTCTGAAACATCCGTGGAGGCTTGTTTTCCTGGCTCAAAAAGAAAAAAAATATTTACGTCCCTGTTCATCAGATTTACAAGTGGTATAGATCCATCATTTTCATATGCTGTGAATATTCAAAGCTTAGGATGGAGTGTATATCGATTGATATTAGATGAGACCATTCAACAAGAATTTTGTCTTGATAACAAGGTCACGAAGCATATGCTGCGCTTGTCAGTGTAAATGCACGAACATGAGATTGTTCCACAGCACGGAAGGGTGTCGACGAGTAGATTAGAACTTGGTACTGTTGATGCCTTAGCTGCTATCATGCTGACGCCTAGGTTTCATAGCGGTTCCATCTTGTTTTCTCAGGTTCACCTTTTTAGCTTTCCGGCAGCGCTTCGCAACAATCTCCATAAGGCCCTCATGTAAACCCATGCTTTCTACTGCTGCAATCAATTTCGGAGATGCAACCTGAGGAATATGCTTTCGTGGCGGGTCCTTCATGTTCCCAACCCCAAGAAGCTGGTAACGTCCATCGGGTCTCATCTCCCATGCTTTTCGCCGATCACACAAACAGGCATCCAACATTTCCTATCCCCACAAAATGTCCCTCTTAGACAAACTCCAAAAATCAAGTCAACCTTGTTCACAAGCTCAAACGAGAGGAAATTAAATACACATTCATGCCTCACCTGTAATTCCTTCTGAAGAGCTTCATCCTCAACAGGAGTCACAACTTCAACTCTACGTGTGAGATTGCGAGTCATCCAATCGGCCGAGCCCATATAGTACTCCGCATCCCCTCCTGTCATGAAAGCAGATTGCTCAGGTCAAGCGGACGTTGCGTCACGAAGAAGTGGTTGAATAGCGTCACCAAGTGATTTCCAAAAACATGCAATTTGCGATCAGTGAGAAGAAATTTTTCCCTGCAACCCTAAAAGATAAGCATCATCTTACCATTTTCAAAACGAAAAATTCGATGATGCTCCAAGAATCTACCAAGAATGCTGACGACGCGTATATTATCACTGTGTAAACCAACACCCCTCCCATGAATACATTCACATGTGTCATATTGTAAATCGAAGAGCAATTTACATGTGCATACAGCAGCGGAAATATAATCTGTGACAATGGCTAATGATCTGCCGGGCCTGATAATGGAAAAGATAGCTATCAGGGGGGGACTAAAATTACCTGACATTTGGAATTCCAGTGCGGATGCGGCACATGCCCCGGACAATACAGTCAATATTTACACCTGCCTTAGAGGCTTCATACAATTTTGTCACCATCACCTGTGGGGCATAATCAATCTTCGTGTGAATCTTGATTGCTTTTCACTACAAAATTCAATCTTTCGAAGCTCATAGCTCAGCTGACTAACTGTACCTGATCATCAAGGCCGTTGCATTTAACGATGATGCTTGCAGGCTTTCCAGCTTGTGCGTTAGCGATCTCTCTGTGATAGGTTCATGCCCAATTATGAGTAACGGAGCACGTTAAAAGGACAGGACCGATTACTACCAAGAGTTCCATGTTCACAAGCGTGATGCTGTAGAATGAAAAGATAAAAATTCTACGATACCAGAAGTAAATACCTCTCTATCAGCCAAATGAACTCATTTCGCATCGTTCCTGGTGCAACTAATAACTTCCGATACGCCACCTGCAGAGTCACCCCACATTTAGCTTGCTTTAGAGAAGATTATGATATGGGCAAGTGCTAAGAATACGCAGAAACGCTTCATTATGTTGTCCCCCTAAAGATGTTTTAAGTCAATTATGAAACGCCACCTGTCTGTGATAACCAGTCAAGTACTTGAAGAGATCTGCAACGTCCATCCCCAGATCAGGATCGCAGCTGCATACACAAGGCGAACCATGAGTTCTCTTATCAGCAGAATATGAGAAGGGGACAGAACGTGGACTGTAACCTTCAATTAGTGAAAGGAGTCACACCTGAGCAGGCCGAAGTCTGTATATACTGATGCAGTGCGAGGATTGTAATTCCCCGTCCCTATATGGACATATGTTCTGAGTCCATCGTCCTCCTGCACAACACATCAAATTAGTATTAACAGCAACGGAAAGACACGAGTTCAATTGTGTCAATTGAAAGATCCTTGAAACTTGAAGCTTGTGGAGCTGGAGGTATACCTTGCGCACTACCATAATACATTTACAGTGTGTTTTGAGTCCCACTAACCCATAAGCAACGTTACAACCAGCATCCTGCAAACGCGAGGAGAGAGTCAAAACATTAGAGAGTAGTTCAGGATGTTCATAACCCAACTAAACAACATGAGTCTGAAATCAAAAGATCTGTATAACTTACCTCCAATTTTTGAGCGAATCCCATATTTCGAACTTCATCAAATCGAGCTTTTAACTCCACCAACACCGCCACCTGAGCAAACAAGAGCAAGAGTATCCAACTCAATTAATATGCTGCTATAACAATTTCAAACTAGCGGACCACATGAAGGAATCAAGCGACAAACCGAAACAAAAGTCGTTCTCGCAGCAACATAAGACGCTCATTACACATGACATGAACAGGGAAAACTCCCTAATTCTTGTAGCCAGCTAATAAGCGTATGCTATTGAACACCTCTAGCTGGAGCATATTTCAAAAAAATTGACTCAACTGACCTGCTTTCCAGCTTCAGCGGCTTTCGCTAGAGCAGAGATCACGGGACTGTCGTTATTAGTACGATATAGAGTGGCCTTGATGGCTGCCACCTGCAGTTCTCAAAAGTGTTAAGTTGTAAGGGACACGAAGAGAAGCATAGCACAGTCATAAAACCATAGCAAGGCTCAGAACATACAAAGAAATACACCAGAACTTTTTCAAACAACCTAAGAATTAACACAGTAAATATTTCATCCGAAGTAACCGTTCATTTAAAAGCTTCAAGATGCTGATTTGAAACGATTGTCATCCAGCTTACGAGCACTTCATCACCTATCAGTACCTTTGGGTCGTTTGCAGCTGCTTCTACAAAATGTTGCGTACTTGTTACAAAGCTGTGGTAAGGATGATGGAGCAAGATATCCCCTTTCTTAATAACTTCAAAAACATCAGCCTGCACATAATGAAAATAGCTTCAGTAAAAATCCGCTGGATAAACATATGAATTAGGCAGGCTCCCTTAGCATACTCCAGAACAAGAGTATTCTTTTAACTCAGATGGAAACTTAGAAAAGGACAGATGAAAGAGTAGACATACCCCTTGTAATCGAGGATGGGTCTTCGAAGTCCATAGAGTGTAAACAAGTGGTGAAGTCAAATTACATTTGCCTACTAATGAATCCAACTCTGTTCATAGCAAACAGGTTAAAGAAGGGTTAAGAAAACAAAACCAGCATGAGGCATCTCCTACAATACTCAACAAGAACCAGACTTGGCTAATACAGTCACGTCCCATAATTTGGATAACGGTGATCAATTGAGCCGCGATACAACAACTCAGAATAAAGAGTTGGACTGTGCAAAAAGAATCGCACGAGTGTTTGGAAGGTTTCTCACCTCCCAGTGCCATTGGCCCACAGATAGCGTAGACATCATCTTTATCACTAAGACCCAGCTCCATGGTCAATCGTTGCACAACTTCTAGAGGCATCTTGCAGTCCACTTCCAGTCGTACAAAAGGAGCAAACCTAAGCTCTCTCATCTGGTTCAGACCTTATCCAGGTGAGTCCACAAAGAGATACTGTTCCGTAGTCTAGAAAACTTGTATATTTATGTATTAAACAGTTCACCATAACCTGCGAGTTAATATGAACAGCGAAGACCGATTCTAACCTCATCAGTTATCATCTCTAGAAGGTCCTCAGCTTCTTCCTCGTTCCGAGCAACATCTGCATTTCGCGTTGTCCGGAACACATGTGCAGACATGATCTCCATTCCACCAAAAAGAAGATCCAAGTTGTTTATGATGATGTCTTCAAGTGACACAAATGTATTCATGTTGTATCTGACCAGCCCAAATATCCAGCCTACACGTTAATTGCAGAAAGACCACAATACACATCTCGACTGCCGTCTAAATATTTCATTACATATGGAATGATTCAGTGATGTGCAAACTCTAATGCCAACAAGGATAATTGAACATACTCGTCATTTTTAGAAAATGCCAAGCTCTTCCACCGCTCCAATCCAGAAGGCACAGAAACTATCGCAAATTGCACTGCATCATCGTAAGGATCTCTGAGCACCTGCATTACCACGTCCAATAAATTCTAGTCATGATCTAGTTTTCACTGAATGTTACCATATCATGGCCCATGGAAAATGCTTTAGAAATTCTAAGCGTTCAAATTCCAGCATTAGTAAAGGCATGAGGGATTAGACAGACGACGAATTCTTACCACAGCAATGCTTGATGTCAAGTTACCAATATAGGGAAATGGGTGTCCCGGATCTACTGCCAGCGGCGTCAGGATGGGCTCTAAGGATGATTTGAAGTAGAGTCTAAGCTGAATCAGCACAGATGTGTATCCACGAACGATTAGGTTTCAAATCCACAGAGACGTCTTTGTAAAACAAAAACAGTTTTCAAGAGTACTATCAACAATAAAAGAAATATTTTTAATGACCAATATTTAAATAACATTCTACAATATTCCTGGTGGAAGAAATTCGCAGAAACTTGGTCTTAAAAAATATATACGTTAAGAGGAATTACCTGGTCCTTCTCATGTAAATGAAGCTCTTCATAATCAACCAGATTAAACCCATTCTTTTTGAGAGCTGGCAAAACTTCCTCAGTCAGGCAAGCAATCTGCGTGTCCACCATCAACCGAACTTCTCTGTACCAACCGAGTTCCAATTTTAGATTCGACCAAAAGTCACACCAGAAGATAGACACATACATGATTGAATTTTAATTTTCCTTACTTGGCAACATGTTTCAGCTGTTGTTGCGGAGTCCAGGCCATTCGTGATTGGACGTTGATCAGATTCTCAACACCAGCAGCTTCTTGCCTCTTCAGTGCTCCAATACGCTTACAGAAAAACTCGTCTAAATTGCGTGCAGAAATAGCCAAGAACCGCAATCGCTGCAAATTATACCAATATCTTTTACTAACGTACCACCAAGCTTCACAAATGTTTAAGTGTTGAACCAAACCTATCATGCAACTGGTTTACAGGTTCTGTCCATGTCATCATATAACAAAGAATTGAAATCAAATAATCTAAGGGTTTCTACCTCAAGGAGCGGTGTGCGAACATCAAGCGCCATGTGAAGGACCCGCCAGTTGAAAGCAAGCCAACTTAAAATCGTACCAAATGTATGAATATTAGTAATCCCGTAAAATAAAATTCTTAATAGCTTACAGGTTGTAAGTGAATCTTCGAGTAACTCATCAATGAGCTGGTTGCCCCACATTCTCACAATGAGCAAAACAGCAGTAGACAGAGAAGCCATCGCACCTTAGCTCTTTGTTGTAAACCGAATCAGCTGCAACCAGCGTATCTACTCCAATCCCTGCAACATCAGCTTCTAGTCCTTCTTGTTTCTGCGGTGGCATAACCACGTTCCCATTCATGGGAGGCTGACGTAGCTCGACGGGAAGATCATCTATTTTGGACGGCTTCAGTTTCCGCAGCTTCGGTTTAGCGTCGCCACCCTAGTACAAGCCCTGTGAGTGAGGAATTTGTGCATACTCCACGTTTGATCCTCTTCTACGACGGCCTTAGGCAGGCAATGCCTTGAATTCCTGAACCATGATTGGATCCTCGTGCTAATGAGGGACGTTTTATGACACATTCCTCCACTTGAACGGAAAATAGAGGGACAAAGAGGTTCACCTTTGATTTCGACGCGTGTGTTGTGTCATTCTTTTCCTTGGTCAGCTCTTCTTTTAAGAGGAGGGCACCGCTCTTTTCATCAATTACAGCTTTCAGGGTCACTAACGTTGCAACTCCGTTCTCTACAAGCCTGTTGCCAGTAGTCTCATCGGATCCTGCGGACTGCTGGACCACGGCATCTGCCCGGACCCGGACGCCTCCTCTGCTCCAAGCATTCTGCTTCTTCTTGGCCAACCTAGTAGTCTGGCTCCTCGGGCGCTCCAAACTCTCCCGTCCACACCCCAGTTGGGAAGAAATATTCGAGAATGCCTCCCCAGCTGCACCTTTCTTAAAACACCTTTGCTGCATTTTACGAGCAATCGAACGAACCCCGGACGCCACAGAAATAACTTCGGAGGATGTCACACGATTCTGCCAATGATGGCACTTGATTCCACATGCCATGGCTGTTGAGCCGGCAAGCAAGGCGCTGCTTCTCGCGTTCGATTCAATATGGCAGAAGAGGTACGACCTGCCGGGTTGCGAGCTCCGCCCCACAGATGTTGAGCCCAACCCAGCGGCTGCACCCTCCATCAAAAACTCCTACTCAACTCACTCTCCTCAAATCAAACCCACCAATTCACCACACAGACGCACTCTCCCCAACCTTCTCACAGCCCAAATAGATGAAACCCACGACGATTACCGACAACACCGCTCTTTCTTACCACATTCCCCTCACAATCACAAACACGAAATCCTCCCAGACACTAAAATCGAAATACTTCAAACTCCCGGACAACAACTCATCAGCTTCCCCGCTCTCTCTCTCGCTCTCTCTCTCTCTCTCTCTCTCTCTCTCTCAACTCGCCACAAATCTGAAAACCTGCTCCAGTCAAAAGAATTGCAGGTGCACTCGAATAAATGACAAAGCGCCAACGCAGCCACACAAAGTCTGTGGCCAATCAGTGCAGCAGCTAGATCCGCAGCCTCCACTTCCACGTCTGAAATTACACCGCGCTACAACGCAAACGTGGGTACCTAAAAGCGGGAGCAAGGACAAATGCAGCTATGGCGAAGTGGATGGAGATTCATCGTTGGGACGGGGGATTCTGGCGTTCATGCGCTTGGTGAGATTCAGGCTCTCTGTGGATGCCAGCGGCGGAGATGCCACGGAGGCTCCCCTACGCGGGGTGATGTTCTCCGTTGCGTCGTAGGGGCGGGACATGTGTCCCCGCTGCACTGGTCTCTCTCGCGCGGTCCCTCCCGGGCTTCCTGCCTTCTTCCTTCCTTCCAAGCTCGGATGGAGCGCACTCTTCTTCGTTTCGAAGCTCGCTTTCTCTCTCTCGCTCTTGCGCCACTTCTATTCATGTTGCTCGTGAGCTTGTTTACAAGTGAAGGGAAACGTGCGGCATTCCTGACTCTGCAAGCCCCTCTCTGTCTGCCACAGAAAAAGATTAAAGCTCTCACCCAATAACTCTACATATTCTTTTTCATTCCAAAGTTGGGAAAATATGTTACACATTTCCATGGAATCTTGTCACTTTAATCTCACTGTACCCCACTGTACTGTGTTGACCCAAATGCTCAGATTCACAACAAAACCTCTCGGAAATCTTTTGTCTATTTTGTTATAAATACAGGATTTGTTAGATGTTGTATTCGACAACCATCACATGGATAAGATGTTACCTTGCACATGCAAAGAAACGAATGTTCTTTGGATTTCCGAGAAAACCGCTTATATGCCACATTGAATTATTTGATTTTTCTTTTTCAGGTCTAAGAGACACTTGTTTGTTATTTTCACCAATGGTTTATACAGTGACCACAAATATACGAATGTTTTCTTTTCACATTTGCAGGTTTCAATGTGCTTGCAACCTGTCTTTGGATACGTATAACTGATATGAATACAAAAATCATAGTCAATCAAATGATTATAAATTGAGAGAGAGAGAGAGAGAGAGAGAGAGAGAGAAAGAGAGAGAGACTTGTTTCATGTGATTTCCACTACAAGAGATTAAGCAAAAAGAGGTAGATGCGTGGCACTTTAATTAGAAAAAGATCGTGGGTTACATTCGCTAAGCAGGGGCAGAATTACGAGGTAGGTTGGTATGCAGTAGTTGGATTAGGAGGTGGTCAGATTTTGAGTAAGGAGGTAGTTAGGTCAGATTTTTGAAAGTCGAAGGATGTGCATGGATACACTTGCGAAATCGATGGATCACGAGCACAGGTTTCAAGACACAGCTTCGAAGCATCCTTTATCTGTCCAGTTTGAGCGTTTCGCAGGCACAATAGCTTACGCAAAGATCAAGCTCATGATCATGGCAGGAATCCACGCTCACTGGCTGTAATGAAACTGGAGCAAGCCTCGGCATGCAAATACCATTTAGACTGGATCCAGTGACACACAAAATCAACGAAGAGTTGTGGAATACATGTACAAGTTTTCATTGGGTGGATTTGTAGGAAGGAGGAGGACTGTTGTATGGCGATTACTCTAACAATGCAGTCATTTCTCCATTCCATGCGTAAACCTGAGGGCTGATCAAGATCAAATCCCATCGAGTACTAAACTGTACAGAAGCTTCTCTTGACTTCTCAACCAACTTCTCTCGCATGAACGTGCTCTTTACCTCCAAACCTAAATTCTGACCTACTTTCAACGAAAGAAATGGTCGATGTCTGTAACGTGTTCCATGGAATATGTTCACACTGGTTCTGCTAAACCCGCCCCTTTCAACTACACCATTACGGGAGAATTTAATCGCCACTTGTCAGTTACACGGAAATTTTGAATAGGATCTAATAAACCTTCAGCATGCGGTGCACTTTTGTTATGATTTAAAGGAGCAGCCATAAAGAAGTCGAGAGGAACACAGCAAAACATCACAAGATCGAGAACTTCATCATCACAAGACCATCTGAGGTTCCGCAACCCCTCGAAAACGGGATTGATGAATGTACATGGATATGTGGATGAATTAACATATGGATGAAGTTATGTGCGAATGAATGAATGAAATAATGAATGGACAGACATACCAGCTCTTAGTTAGTTGGAGCAATGGAACTGACATTGGGTTTGAGGGTATTAGAGGATGATTGTACAGGACTGTGGGATTAATTTCCTCTCAACAAAGACGACGTTAAACTTCTAGTGAGGTATTAGGTGTAGGGGGCACGCATTTCAAAGCCAATATGACCTGTGGGTTTAGTCCTAAGATCATTAATAAATAATAAATAAATAAATAAGTTCTGAAAATACTTAGGGTTTATGTATTCCTTATGGTAAAACAATAATAAATATAAATATAAAACACTGCCATTGGTACTTCACAAACAGGCTTCAGTCGTAAGAATGGCCCCTAAAAAAAAAACTGAGGCTCAAAGGACTGCAAACCTTGCTCAGATGCAAAGTTTGAAAGGTAAACATCACTTTGAATTGAAGTTCAGAAAAAAATTACAAAATCTATCAACTGGTTAATTTTTATATCAATTTAAGTTACATTTTCTTATGTGTATTTTGGATGTTACGTATGATTGATATGGTGTCAAATTTTTAATTTGAAGAGATATATAGATATATATATATATATATTATGGAGGCTTGTAATCTCTTTTGTACCTTTTTTACAATGCTACAATTCAAAATGTTGTTGCAATGTATACATAATATGTTAAGTTTAGGTAAAATAAAATGAAAATAACATAAAATATTTCAGTCAATTTATACAAACATTAAAATCTTCATTAATAATCACAAAGTGATATTTTTAAAAAAGAAAATGTATCACAGGTGTAAACTGTGACATTTTATATCATTGTACTTATGATTTTTAAAAATTCCTTAGAATGACAATGAATGTATTTACAGCTAATCAAATGAATCCTTCAAATATGGAACAATCTGAAGCTATACAAGAAGTGTGGGCTGATGTGTGGAGTGGATTTGATTTGCATGTTAGTGACAAACAGTATTATCCTCGTTATGTTGCATATGCAGTTGCTCATACTGTGGCTCAAGTAAACCTTTCTATCTTCATGTACAAATATGAACTATTAGTGTTGTTCTGTAAGAATTATAAAATAATAAGTTTGATCATAAAGTGAGTATGAAATGTAATCACAATTCTTTTTGGTTTTTCAAAAAGCAGACACATGCAAATTAGATTGTCAAATAGAATTGAAAATTCAAAGAATGACATGATTTGTAAACATCATTGTAATGTTTTTTTTCATGATATATTTTGGCCAATTTATTTTTGAATTTTTTTCAAGATATACACATTGCATGAATTCTTACCTGAAACAATGAGTTTTGAATTGCAGAAGCAATTTGGTAATGCTTAAATCACATACAGTTTTGTATTTACAGATGCTCAATGTGGTGTGCTTCGCAAGGCTTAACAAAATGGATGGGTGGGATCATCCAATTGTGGGCCAGCATCCTGAAGAATGGAATGCAGATGAAGAGTGTGAACTCCCCCCAATTGACACATGGGCTCGCCAATGTATCCCAATTGAAACTGAGTCAAAAACCTCCACAAGTATTGATGACACAAATTCCAAAAATAGTTCAAAATCATTTGCAAATCCCCAAACTTCCCAAGGAGTCCTTGTAAGTGTGCAAGATGCTTTAGCTCAACGCGGCAACTCAACACAATTGCAACTCCAATCAAAATCAACAATTCATGATAGTAAACACATAAATATTGAACATGAAGCAGATAGTCTTTTCATAGATGACACCACTGGATGGAAAAACAAGTAAGATATCTAGAGTTGGGTTGTGTGTTTTTGAAAAATGACATATGTGAACATGTGAGTATGCCTTTACAGAGTGAATTTTTAGAATTTCATTGATTTGTACATATATCTGATATAGAGAATAATAATAACGATAGTATATATATACTAATTTGCAATGACATTGACAGGCCGGCAGAAGAATCATCTGAAAGTGAAGATGAGTATTTAGACTTGAGGTGGTAGTCTGAGCAAGAAACCTTCAACATCAGCCCCTTTCATTTAAGTAATATATCTTGAAATCAATTTATCAAACCTGAAAACCGAGTTGTTTCAATAAAAACTTTGAAAGAGCACTGGAAATGTACACCGTGGTTACCACAATCAGAAGGTTGTGATCTAGACACCAAGAAATTCATAAAAAGAGAAATCAACAACAGTAACAACATAGCGTCACTTAATCAGAACCTGCTTCTGCCAAATGGTTCATTCAGACAGCATCCAGTCAATGAGGAGCAGCGTCGGGAATCCAGCGGAATCGGCCCACGCATCGCCTCTCGCCGTCGCACGAGCAACTTTGTTGTTAGATTCTCTACTGAGATCCAGAATGATTCCAAACACAGTGGGTTTAATCCGCAGGACCAACTGACAGTGGATAAGTATGCTCTCATAGCGTCTCTTCCCTGCGGTAGTTCACCCCTCGATAGTTGTTCGATCAAACAGTTGTGAAACAGTTTTAGGTGGAATCTAGAAAACAAAACTTGAACCTCGAATTCATAAGTCGTCTTATGCGTTTGATGTCATGGTGATAATAACAATCGGAGTTCATTTGGTAGCTAAAATCCATGACTAATATATATACATATATATATATATATATATATATACACACACAAGAAATACGCCTGCTTGACACGCACATCAAGGATGGGAGCATGAAACAGTTGATGAGGATATGGTAAAGAGAACGGAACGTTGAGTATATAATTTATCAACGCATGATTATTAGTATGAACGTGAGCAACAAGTGGCGTTCATCAATTGAACGTGACCGGAGATGTAGCTCAGATGGTAGAGCAGTTGGTAGAGCACTAATGGTAGAGCAAGCAGGGCTCCATGAAAATCGGAGCCGCAAATCCGCTTTTTTAGGAACATGATTTCTCTTGCATTTTGAGTGATAGTTTAGCCTCACAACAGTCCGCATAGTCTCTTGATTTCCTAGGGGCATTGAAACATCACCCTGAAAACGAAAATCGACAATCGAGACGTCACGCATAATCTCAACCATGCAACTTACCAACAACCAGAGAGCTCCTCCAACAATACGTAGTATACGACAATCTTAACGCAAACAGAAATACCCGACTTTAGGTCTTTGCAGCATTACCATACAGCGATATTACCGACACGGACCTTTTCCGACTCATCAACAGGGCCTTCCCCACGAGAACGGCTTGACACCAACTGCTCGAGGAAACAAGAACGCAATCCCATAACTTGAACTCAGATTACATGCACAATTCAACAGCGAATTCCTAGGGTTTCATCGGATAGCCAATAAGCAAGGATATAGAATAGAACTTACCTGTAAAACATACACAAATAATTGGCGTCAAATACCAAGTGCACAACAAGATCACCACCAACAGCACGTAACCCCATAAGAAAGAATAGTGCCCAGCTAACCGACCGTAGCAGAAATCTCACATGTTTGCAAAAGACACGCGATTTGTTGCAATCAAGGCCCCAGGGCCCTACCAAGGGCAAAACGCCCGTAAAAGCGCAAAAAAAACAGTTCTGTAAGATATTTTATTTAACTGCGGTGCGGCTTTAGGCTCAGATGGTATAGCGCTTGCTTAGCATGCAAGAGGTTTAGAGATTGATATCCCGCATTTCCATCACACAATCATTTCTCGAACTTTTCTTCTTCTAGTCTGAGACTGCTTTTTCATCTCCATTTGCAAAAATGCGCATTTCTTTCCTTGGAATTAGATTCCACTTCCACCTCTTTGAACGCACAAAATCATTGATGGAGAATAGCTGCAATTGGGTCTCAATTGGAGCTTCCAACAACGGCATGTCTTAGAAAACAATTGTGAAGTTCCTATTTGTGCTCATAAAAGCTGAAGGTAGACCATTAGATTCTTGTTGACTTCTTCTTACAACTAGTGAAGGAACTTAACTGCTATTAACTGATATAACCATTGGACAAATGAACTTATTCTCAACTCATAATCACCTCAACGCATAAATTTAAGAGCATCTCAATTCATAATCATTCCAACACATGAATACTAAACCAGGTAAATCATTTCCGGTACATTTGTACCATTTGTGCATGAATATACTTACAGATACAAGGTGATTAATGCAAAGAATTTATCTTTAAACTTGGACACTGTTGTTCATAGTAACTATCAGCTATTCGACTATGAGCCACAATACAAACTTTCTTGATTGAAGGTGATTATGCGAACCTTTCCTGGACAGTGAGCAGTATAACAATTATACAACTTAAATCACTTAAGAAAACCAAAAAATATCAAAACTAAAAATTCTTACTGCTGCTACATAATCATCGTACTTTGCACAGTGAAAGACGTTCTAAGACCAGTTATCAACAGAAATGATAAAAAAGCATACTTGCATGGATTTCATTTCGTCTAATGCACCCATAATGGCCATCTCAAGTTTAGAATCCAACGTCCAGTTCTTTGGAGTCTTCATCGCTTTGCCCAGCTCCTATGCCTCTCTTTTTATTACCGCCTCATTTGTTGCCTAACCAATCATAATATACAATAATCAATGTAAAAGCTTCTAAGAATATATTTAGTCCTTGATTACAAACATAATACTACCATATACACAAATTTCATCTAAAAGTTTTCATTCTGCAAACACTTGTAAAAAATCAATTAAGAAAAGAATACAAAATTTACAAATTAAATACATGTGAATAGAAACTTTCTACATCTCATTAGTAGAGGCATTCTCATCTCTAGTACAAATTTGTGAAAATTGAAGAATATTGTGACATGAAGCTATTGAGAGGATCTATTGAGTAAAGATCCACCTATAATTATTGTGCTTAGAGGAGCAAAGACTATCCAATACATTATCATGCATTTGGTTAAATAGGGGCACCATATTTGAGTCTATTCCATAAGCAACACCAACATTGTAATTGTTATATTATGAGTACCTATTGTACAAAATTTTGGTTTGAGCTTGCATTGTTTTGAATATCATGCATTTATGCATAATCTTTTTATATAATCAACATTAACATAGATCTATTAAGGCCATGTGAACTTAACTTTTGCTTCACTTTTGAAGATTTTTTTTTTTAATAAAAACAATGAAAGATGCAACTAATTAGAAATTATTTTTATCTTTTGTTTATTCTATTGATTTGTCTTCAATGAGCTGATATATATATATATATATATATATATATACATCACTAGTATTTGATCTACAAATATTTTTCATTGATGGTTGCTACTTTTAAAGTTGATCCAAGTATTTTTAGAATTCCTATTCCATATCATAGTTAATTAGATTGTAAGAGAAAGAACAAGTACACTGCAAGCATTCCCGCGAGACACTCCAAATCTACAATATTGCAGCTATAATACAATCTTGTAAAGGAAGTAGATTTTGCAATTACATGCACCTTATAAATAAGATGAATTGCATCTAGTTGCAATAACTTGAAATCAATATCACAAATAGAGACACTTCTTAAGGCTGTATTTTTCTTATCAATGTTTGATACAAACTCTAGAAGTATGATCTTGAAATTTCAAATTGTACAAGATGGCATGGTCAAATATCCTTGTTTAAAATTTAAAAAATCTTATTGTTATTTTAGATATATTACCATTTTAGAAATTTTTAGATTATAGATCCTTAAAAATAACTCTTATATTAAAAGAAGGGCTAAAGGTGAAAAAAAGTCAAATTAAGTGTGGAAGACCAAAAAAGCTTACAAAACTTTGTGACTTTTTTATTCTAAATAAAACAACTAATGTATTTATAGATTCTTTTAGAATTGATTTAAAGACCTTTTTGAATAAAAATAATCCTTATTTATTATAATGACAAATCTATGTGGCACTTGGTTTAGTATAGAGATATAAATACACTTGTACAAAAAATAGTCTATTTAAATTTTAGATAGAATTTTATTAAGAAATATTTATACAAAGATTGAATTTAAAGGCTACTCTAAAAAACTTATATTTTTGTAGATTTTATATTTGCTAAAAATATTTCTTAATTAAAATTATCATATAATAATATAATTTAGAGTATTATAAGTATCAATTTTTTTATAGAAAAAATTTAAAAATTAAATGTTAATTTTTTTTTAGATATATAAATCTATATTTTTTAAAATAAAATTTACTATTTAAAATAGAAATATTTAATTTTTGTTTTATTTTAGTTTCAAATATCATTTTTTTTTAAGTCTTATTGTTGTCTTTCAAAAAAAATAGAAATTAAAATATATCTTCTATAATCTATTCATGAAACTTTTTTGTATGGTATATTCATTAGAACACTTATACATATTTATAACAATAATTAATGAAAATTTTGAGTTCCAATTCAAATCCAATACTTCGTAGAATATAATTATTATTCGAAAAATAATTTGATTAAATTCCAAATTCAATTTTTTATAAAATGTTATAATATATATGCACAAATATTTTGATATTTTGATATTTTGATACTACTTAAGATTCTTTTCAAATAAAAAGATGTAGTTAAATCTTATAACTTGAATTTAAGATTTTGGATTTATTTAATTTTATGATTTAGATATTTCTCAAAAACAAGTTTCTAGTGATGTCTTCAAAGGTAGCAACCTAAGGATTTTAGATAAGAAGACCAAAGTATCTATAGAAAGGAAAGAAAGAGAGGTATTAAAATTTCATGTCCTATATATATATATATATATATATATATACACATATACATATATATACTTATTAATAAATTATTTTAAAAATTTATAATCAATCTAAAATATATTAAAAATTTTAATTTTTTAAAATAGATTTTATAAATTCAAATTTATATTATTTATTGATAAAAGTAATTTATTTATTTAGATTTGAGATTATTAAAGATATTTAATATATCAAATTATATCATTTTTTAAATAAATATTTTTTTTGTATTTTCTTTTCAAAGACTTTTAATTAAATTTTATATTAATTTTAAAAAAATTAATTTTTTTCTTAGAAAATATTTAATCTTTTTATTATCAATATTTTAAATTAAATTTCAATACGAAATCTTAAGACTTTTAAACCTTATAATATCCTTGATAGATAAAATTAAAGGATAAAATTATTTTATTTATTTTATTATTTTATTTTTTATAATAAATAATTATATCTATTATATAAAACAACTCAAGAGAGACAAACCAATAGGATAAAGAAGAGGAGAGATAAACTATTTTTGATTGGATGCATTTTTTATTGTTTTAATCAAAATTGCGCAAAACTTGAGTTCAAAGGGCCTTAATAAAACCAAGTTAATGTTGATTATATCAAAAGATTATATACAAATGTATGATATCAAGAACAATACAAGCTCAAAGTACAATGTTATACATCAGATACTCATCTTATGATGGCAATCATGAATTTTAGTAGGAAAATTGCAAAGAGGAAGAAGCAAACAAAAAAGAATGCATTGATGGTGCATGGTTTGCATTAAAGCAATGTGAGTGGAGTCTTAAGGAACGTGAATATGAGTGAGAATATGAATGTGATTGTGAGTGGAATAAAATGAAAAAGAAGGAAAGTAGAATATTAGAAAAGTAGGAATTGATAAGTAGAATGGAACAATGGTAAAAAGACATGGTAGTAGATGTGAAAGGATCATGGTAGACACAACATGCAAAATATAGGTGTGTAGATAGATTGTGGTTGAGGTAGGAAGAAGAATTGGTAGTGGAAGATGTAGAAAGAGTTGGAAGTGGTCTATTGAATGTTTATAAAGGTGAGAATAAGATTATAGAGTTACGTATTAGTAATTGCAAATCTAAAGAGAGGCATAGTATTGGTAGCAATAAAAATAGAGATGAGTAAGGAGTAGGAGCAAAATACAATTGCAAAAGCATTTGTATAACATTACAAAAAAGAAGTGCAATAGATGCGGCATGTGTGCTAAAGTGCATTGGGAGATGTGATGCCAATCAAGATAATATCTTTGAGTAGTAGAGAGAGGTTATAGCTTGAATTGATGTGGTTGAATTATTGTCACTAGGATCTTAGGTGGACAAGTTGTCAATGGAGCAACAATAATAGTAGCATATGCAGATAAAGGCTATAGACAAAAGCACATTCCAATGTATATATTAGTGGTGTAGCAAAAGAAATTAATGCTATTGGGGTAGAGAGAGTTTGCCTCATGAAAGCGCTGAGCTTCTGGCTGCCACTAAATACTCAATCAAGTCTAAGATATAAAAGTACCAAGTTTTTATATATAATATTTTCTTTTTTAGGGCAATTACATCTATACAAAATCCAAGTACAAAAAAAAAAACACCCAAATGTATGATAAAGTATCTTAAAACCTTATATATCCTTATGAGAAATGTTACCTGAACTTCAACAGCTCATATCTCACAATCGGACCATCCAAACAATTTAAAATTTTACATGAAGCACTAATATACTTTCAAAAACTACCACAAAAAAATTCAACTGCAAATTCATTATGAATCTTGAGATATCACCAAAACCCTAACAGTAGCTTTAAATCCTAGCTTACATACACTTGTGTGCTAATTTCTTCATATCTCACAAAATAAGTACTCAAATACCATGAAACTTTGATCTATAGCTTCTTAACTTAATAATTCACACATGTTATGCTTCAAAGAGTGACAGTAGGTACAAATTTGACACCTTAACTTTGAACACCAATATCTCCTTCACAAAAACTTGAAATCACACAAACTCTTCATCCAAATTATACCCAAAATCCTGAACTTGCTGACCTTAGCCTTCAAAGCTCAAATGACTTCGAAAGAAAAACCCTAATCCCTAATAGGGCCTCGGGCAGCCTCCTTGAAGTCCATTGGCCATGGCCTTCGACTAATAGGAATGAAGATCCCCATTCCTTGCCTTCATACAACCATGCCTTGCTTTCATCCCTCCCAATAAGCCTCATACTAGTTAAGATTCTCTTATTTAGGCTCTAATCTCTTCTCAAGGCTTCATACTAAACATTTAGGTTTTATAATTTTTTTAAATACTATAATCAAAAAAGATAAAACTCAAAATAAAGTTTCTTAAATCCACTCTCTTTAAATTAATCTATTAACCATTCTAATATACACCAAGACTTATGAATATATTATATGTTCTAACTAATTTTTACATACTAGAAGTAGTTACAATATGACAACGCGATAGCAGGTGAGAGTTGTGTAAATAGCAATTGGCCCAAATTCAATACCTTTTTTTGTAGCCAACAACACAAGTATCTATTAATAAATAAATAAATATTTATTTATTGATTATTTTAATATATAAAAAATAGAATTTATATTATAAATTAATTAATTTTAAAATGATATATTTTTATCAAAGAATTCTTATTGTTAAAATAATTATTTTATACGTGATTATTAAATGCTTGTTTTGATATTTTTAGATATTTAGTAATAATTTCTAATTACCAATATATTTACATAATAACTTTTTCCATCAATTAATAAATATGATAAATATCTATATTATCTTAAATAAATAAAAATAAATAAAAATAAGTCAAAACTTAGTAGATAAATAATTTTTTAGAATTTAATACAAATTTTATGGTAAATAATCTAATAATATTTTTTAAGACTCAATATTCTATTTTAGATAAATAATATAGAATTTAATCTTAATTTTGATTTTTTGATTTTTTAAAAATTATTTTTATGAATTAAAGTTTTATTCTAAAATATAGAATTAATTAAAAAATAATATATTATTTTATTAAAAAATATCCTTTGTATGTCAAAAAACTTCTCATTGTAATAGCTATAGAATACAATGAAAGATAAATAAACATGAAATCATTAAATATGATCTAAAATAAAAAAAGCTAAATTTTTAATATTACAATTATATAATATAGAAAGTATAAAAATATATAAAATAAAAAATTTATTTTTATAAATAATTATAATTTATTATTATATGTAGAATTTTATTTATTTTAAGTTTAATATTAAACATATACTTAGTAGTTTTATGACTAGTATTTATTAGAATGTTACTATATTCAAACTTCATAGACTTTTTTATTTTATTTTTATATATAGTTATACTACAATCTGATAATTTATTTTTTAAATAATTTTTTTTGATGAAGAATGTCATGTAAGTGTATACTTGATTCCTACATTGACTTTTAAGATTGCACATTTGAATCTAAGTTCTATAAACATAATTTAGTTTTAAAATTATTTATATTATGAATATTTTATTTTATTTAAATATTATACTTAATAATCTTAATATCTTTATTATACATAAAATATTCTTATATGAATAGTTTGATCATAATACTAAAAATTTAATTTAAATAAAAAAAATGACACTCTTATGTATTATGCTATCTGTATTTATAACAATGTCTTTGATTAGGATTTCTTAAGTTAGAATTTGTTCTTATAATTTTGTATCTTAGTAATTTTTAGAAAATAAAACAAACAATACTCTTTAATATAAATTCTACTTTGAATTGTAAATATAAACTTCAATCTTTAAGTTAATTTATTAATTTTAATTTTTATTTCTAAATTCATCTTAATACAAGAAATATTTGTATATTCTAAAATTATCTTTAATCTATGTAATAGGAAAGCTCAGGTATAAATCAAAGAGACAAAGAAGCCTTATTCCATGGCTGAAATCAAAGAAATTGTTAACCAACAAAATAAACTTATATGACATGTAGAAAGACCACTATTTTACTATCTATAAACAACCTTGATGTGCCTAACAACACGGGTTTTGGCTAATATTATATAAAATAATATACTTATCACATAATTATTACATACATTCCATTATTTATATCTTATTATAGTGTTATAATTATTTTAATATATAAAACTATGATACAAATATAATTACACCTTACTATTAGTTCTTGAAAAAATAGTAGTCTATTATATAACAAAAGACATTGAAATAACAATATAAAAATTCACACTAAAATATATTAATTTTTTTATTAGATTAAAAAATAACTCTAAAATGCTATAAATAAATAAGTAAATATAAAAAAACGTGAATTTTTATTTTAATATTTTAATATTAAATTTTTATCTCTTATATTTTGATTAAGTAATTTTAAAACTAAGATTGAAATTTCTTGTCAACTTACACTCCAAAACGAAACTTGAATGCACCACGAAGTTCCAACAGATTCCTTTTTAAGAAAAATCTTTTAACCTTTTATGAGAAGATCTCTTATGAGTAGATCAGAAGGGGGAGGGAAAAGTATTGCACTTAAGCTGATTACAATAAGGGGATAGCCGATTAGTTAGTATAAACCTCACAATAGTGGACCAATGAAATCTTTGGTCAAGTGAATTTCGGAATGCAATCCAGACACCCTTTGCGGGTCATGTTGCAGGCTAGAATTCATTGATGAGCAACTCTACCTGATCAAAATCACTTCCACACACAAAGAGATCGTCCTGACAATGGAAGAATAATGAGTATACAGTAGGCCATTGATACAATTTTGAGAAATAAGCATGGAGCAGCAGCAGCAGTAGCAGAGTACTAGTTATCACGTGCGCAGGCTTCCTGGGTCTTCGATTAGAGTTCGAACGTACTTGCGAACGACCTCATCTCCTTTGAGCCCCCGCCGCTTGTGGCATTGAAAGCAGTTGGTCCTAAAGAAGCCCCCACCCTTGAATGAATGCCACCAGATGATGCAAAAAGTCCAACGGTATCTTTCTCAACACATGAGCAGTGGGTTGCAAGTTTTGCTGATCACACAAATTACTCCCTAAACATAATATAAAGCGAAAATCTCCACGGGTTCGTCTTTTCTCAAGGCGTGGAAGCTATTACGTATGCATGTGCTACGACTTGAATTGCGATGTGTAAGACTTAAATAACGAGCTAAAATGCAATGTCCAACCTGCAACCAATGTTCCTCAATTCCTATTTACCAGTTCGAAAAATGGTGAATGACTACCGCAAAGGTATGGTTGTGGTATAGCTTACCGCCTAGGGAAGTTCACGTTTTTACAATCTTCACATTCCCAGTTGCCGTTTATGCCAGGCTCAGGTTTGTGTCCACCTCCCATTGCTGTGGCATTTACTGCTGCCGGATCGCCAAATTCCTACCCCACATACCTCTGTACAAGATCAGCGAAGAGCTCATGACAAACCATGACAAGTGTAACTAAATATTTACGACAATGAACCTTAAAATGTCAATTTCATGTGATCGTAAAAAACTGAAACGTGTCCTAGGGCCTTACTCGCAAGAAGTCACTTGGTCGATCTTTGTAATCCTCAAAACGCAAACCAGGACGACCCATGATTCCACGAACCCCTGATGGGCTTCCAACTGCTTCACCTAAATTAGCCCTTGCTAAATAATTTCCCAAAGTGTTGCCATGGGGTAGGCCCGGTCCTGAATTTATTGCGAGGTTGCCAAAGCCACCTGGGCCAAAGTTTCCACTTAAATTAGATTGTGAGAGCGTACTATACCCGCTCATTGGAGAATTGAGGCCAAGTGAGCAGGAAGCAGAACCTAGACATGAGGTGGAAGACGTTTCTAAGCCACCACCTGATTCTCCAGTTTGCATTCTGGACTTCATCGTTTGTAACCAAAGAGCAGCGGAAGCCAAACATTCGCCGGCGTCTCCAACCGGGTCTATGGATGCAGCAAACGAGGCAACAAGTTGCTCCGCTAATCGTTTGCCTTCAGTTGCAGCACTATGTGACAGAAGCAAAAATAAACCTCATTGTCATAATTTGTGACATGGTTATGTAGGTCGGTCATAGCTTACAGATAACAATCATTCCTTTCTGAATGACAAACCCAGTGCACGCAGTTCAACGTCATTCAATGAGTAGAATGATGTTCAAACATCTACAGTACGCTAGCACTCTCAGTGATCAGGGTAGAAGATACTTATCGACAAAGAAAATGTGAAGTTGGATACCTCAGATTGAATCTTCGGCCAGACGCGCCACTGTCTCCAGTTACATAATGTGATGCGAAAGACGGCAGTAATGGCGTATCAAAGCCTCCACCCATCCAATGCTCCATGTCTCCAACAGTTGCATGGCTAGAACCAGGTGAGATTGACATCCCAGATTGCTGTGTTTCGGCGGCTCCCATATGTGACATCAGATTTCGGGGCAGCATTCCTCCTTGATCTCCTCCAGACATCTGCTGCGGGAACATACAGTCGCAAACAGTTGTTCAATTTTTTACTCTTGGAGGACATTGTCAAGTATGATCACATCTTCCAGCTGAAATGTATGAATGAGTTAAAATTGTAGTTCCTTCTGGAAAGGCTTCAACCCTTGACATTTAAGGAAGATCAAAGGAAGAAAAAGAAGAGGAGAAAAAGAGGTAAAAAAGAAAAAGAAAAGAAAAAAAAAAGAAAAAGAAAAAGAAAACGTCGTGCAAGACGTTCTTCTCACTAGATGTGGAGCTATCCCTGATCCAGGAGCCATATCACGGGCGATTTTAATAGTGTCTATGTAGGCCTTCACTACTGCATCTCCAAGAAGTCCTCTCCGCTTCCCACACTTGTTGCACTGCACACGGCAGAAGAGTAATTGCCATTTACAGTCAGTCTTAGGTTCTGAAAGTAAGTATTTAAGAGCCCTTCGGTACTAAAGGAAATTGAATACACAGAAGGCTATGCGATGCTAAAAGTAAAGCCGGATACCAATGTTTGAAAGGAATGCGTTACAAGCACTTCAAAACTACAAATGCTATAGCATTTTCACGAGAAGAAGCTCAGAACACGCTCCAGAATTTACGTAATGCCACACACTTGCATAGGTCCACAGATTCTCGCATAAACTTCTAACTGCATCAACTAAGAATAAGAAATACAAACTAAATACTTCAGAGACGTTATGTTGAAATTAGAGGGTGATAAACTGCGCATCTAAGAACCCAAATTGAGCTGAGCGCTTCTGTTTCTAAATTGTGACGGCTATTGAGACAGAACATAAGAGTCCATTTCGAAACCTCTATCTCGTAACCTTTGGCACCTTAGAATGATGTTTATGGCTCACCTCCGTCCTCCGTGGGTAATTGACGTTCCCGCAAGAAGGTTCATCGCAAACCCAGTTACCATCCTCCAGAGGCCGCGGTTGCTTACCTCGTTGCATCGGACCAGCTTCCCCATTCATGTGCTCAGCAAATCCTTGCATTCTGTTCACAACGCCAATCACAATGTCTAATTGAACACAACATGAATTAAACGTGTACGATTACGCCGATAGGAACCATTTACATCTACATGGTGATGCGATCAATCCTGTTTAAGAAAATGCAAGGAAAAGCTTATCAAGACAATATCCGAGAGACGACGCTTGAGGAAAGCAATCCCAAATGTCCATTATCCATATAGGTCAATGGCTTTTGAGCATGAATAAAAGTCCATAAAATACAAATTGTATTAACACAAATGGCAATCAATGCACCAAAATTAGGTCAATAAAGTTCAGAATTAAATACAAATTCCATCACTGGCCTCAAATTGACCACTGTATGCATTATCCAGTGCTTGTTGGATCGTTGAATACACATTAGAATATTTGGATTGCAAGTCACACTGTTCGAACCATTAATAACTGAAGAGAGAACTAACGAAAGTCTAAGGGGGACAGTACCTAGTGAGACGAGGATGCTTAGGCAATCGATATGCATAATGCCCACCAGATTCCTCACGCCCACCATACATCTAATTTACTACCCTCGTCGGCAGTGGACGAACAACCCTCTCTCTAGAGAGAGAGGGTTGCTTTCTGCCCCTCCTTTCCAGGAAGAGAGTCTCCTCCAAGTACCTCTCAAAGGGTAGTCAGTTAATCCATGGCTATGAAATGTCGTCCATAAACAACATTCAAGCATGAACCTCGCTTGGAGACACGTTCGAGCCGACCCCACGACCTCATAGCATGCTTAGCTCCCCTTTACACATCATTGCGATGCACCCATGATGCATTAATAACCCAAGCCAATTTGCCTGCAAAGCCCTGTAGGATTGTTTCCACAATGCTCCGGTTTCAGAATCTCACATAATGTAAACCTACAGCATGAGCAGCAGCTCAGGTTGACGATCATCTCTCACGACTTATTCAAAACGGCTTTGCACCAGCAACCACGCAATCCCACATTCCCATTTGGACCCCATTCGGACTACAATCGGCAAACATACGGTCAGCCTAAAGACAACTCCATTCTCAGAGTCTACCAAACCTCACTTCAGTTTTGTACATGTGAAAAATTACGCCGTGAATGTGCTACTAGTCTTCTCAAACTCTGTGGCACAATCTAGTCGAACACTCACTCTCCAAACGAATGCTAGTACTAATGGGATAGAAGCCACATCAGAGCACTTCCCTGACGTGACAAAACGCAGTATCTCAGAAGAAATCACTAAATTTGTTTTACGACTCCAACTCTATCACCATTCCTTCAGCCTCTATCCCTGCCGGCCCCAATCCAGCATTGCGGCCAACCCCCCTTCCTCCCTCTCACAAGCACATTGTGATCTTCCTGCCAACCGGTTCATCGATCTAAATTTTCATCGTCAACGCTAATATACAGCAACACAAGCAAATGATAATAATAATGTTAGTCGCAAATGAAGCAATTTTTCTTCTTTTCGTTTTTTCCTCTAAATTTTAAAAACAAAACATCCCGTTTAAACAACGTTTCACACCACAGAGCATTACATTGACAGTTAGCCTTCTGCCCGAACCACAACCCCCACTCCTCCGAGTCAAGAGAACATCGCAACGAACAAACCTTGCTTCCTTTCCTGCTTGCTGCAGAATTCCCTTCTTCTTCTTCTTCTTCTTCTTCTCCAACTCCTCCTCGGAACCCAACCACCTCAACCACCTTCGGAGCACCACCTTCAATCCCGCCTCCCAACTGCCGACTTCAACAATGCAACAGAAATGCCTCAGAAGCGGAACCCACGTGAAGGCCGCCGCGCTTGTCAGATTATCGCTCAGCAACAGCGAGAGACGGGTTGGTGGCACATCCAATTGGAGATGGCAGGTGAGATGATGATGATCATGACAGGGGCAGAAATGGGGGGAATTGCGCTACATCCGATGAGAACGCAACTGGGTGCAGCAGGGGGGGGAGGGAAGAGAAAGACCAAGAGGCAAACCCAGCACAGCAAAGAAGATGGCCAGGCAAGGCAAAGGCTGTAGAGAGCGAAGGAAGGCAAAGCCAAGGCAAGCAAGGGAAGGGAGAGAGCGAGAGGAAGAATGGCCAGGCAGCGAGAGAGAGAGGGAGGGAAGGAAGTGAAAGAGCGAGAGCGGGAGGGAGGGGCCCTGCGCTGCTGCTGGTTCTTCTGCTTCTGTTTCTGCAGACCACCTGGTGGAGGAAGGGGAGGAGGGAGGAGACGAGAGGGAGGAAGGAGGGACCCGGATGATGGCCCCAGCAAAGCAGCAGCAGCAACTGCACCGTGGCTCACACTCTGTCCACGTGGCATCCCCCCATCACCCTCCCTCCCTCTCTCTGCCTGCTTGCTTGCTTGGAACTCGTAGAACCCCCTCCCCCTCCCTCTCCACTCCCAGTCCTGGCCCTTATCTTCTCGTGCTGCACATCTCGAGGGCGTGAAGAAAAATTTAACCGACAAAGTGGGTGGCGAGTGAGGGGTGGGGTGGGTGGTTGAGGGAGTGAGGGAGGGGAGGGCGGGGATTAGGGTGTACTCATTTTGCATTCATGGTGAATTCATGACTTTCATGCCTCCACACTGGTTTATTCATCTTGTATGGAGCAATCATCTCTTTTTTAAGAATGTGTGTGTCTGAATTCTGCTTATGCTGATGTTTGAGATGTTTTAATATTATGATAATAATAATAATAATGTTAATGCATTGGATGGATTTTGATCATGTTGCAAAACCCATCTGAATTCTAATTCAATTTGAAGAACAAAAATTAATGTAATTATTAAAAATTTACAAGTGATTTATTTAATTTTGAAGTCTACCTCCATTCTAATAGAATTATTCCAACTTCTATGTGATTAGATGTCCCTCTAGCATATACTTGGCATATTAGCTATATGCTTCTTGACATAACATGCCAAGTTTGTGCTAAAGGGACATATAAATAACATGCAAAGATAATTGTAGTTTAAGAAATCAAGTTTTGGACCAAGATGTAATAAAATTGTAAGTGGCTTACAAAAGAAAACTTTCTACACATACATGGAAGGAGAAGCTTAGACATGAGCCTTTGCTATCTCATCCCATTTCACTATATAAGTATTGTAAAGCAAAGGGTTACTTGCTGGCACATAAGGTTGTCTATACAAAGAAACTTTAGCAATAATTAAATCAATGAACATTAAAAGAATGTACAAGCCTAACATTGAGTGTCTGGTGCATCTTTGTCAAAACCATCGTGACAAAACAAAGAGCCATCCTCGAGTGTGCCAAATTTGATTTGATTGTAAACAATTGATAATTGTAAAATAATGAGTTCAATCAACAAACTTGTCAAGGTTTTAGATGCAAGGTGAGATGTGCCCCAGTTCTTTGGAGTGTAGCTGCAAATAAAAGGATTTGAGATTTTTTGATATGATTTGGAAAGATCGCAATAATACACTAAATGAATCCATGTCATTGTCACAAAAAGTGTGACTCAAAAGAAGCTATTTTTGTAAGCCAAAGAATATTTTTCAAATTCAAATATAATATAATACAAATAAAAAGAAATAAAATACACAATAGAATTTTGAAGTACAAAGTAGGATAAATAAATCTATGCCATTGTCATGGATAATATACAAAAAAATTATTAATTTAGTTCAAGGAATTACTTATGAAAATATAAAAAAATTATTAAATTGAATTAAAAATCATAAAAATATCTTAAGACATTCAAAGATATAATAAAATAAATAAATAAATAAATAAATAAAATATAAATTATAAATTACTAATATTTATCTAATTAATTTTTTTTGATAAATAACATTTAGTGTGGAATTTAAATTTTCATTTTTAAGGAGAAGAATCTTGATAGAATGAAAAGAAGTGTATTGAGAGAGTGCTACATAAAATTGACCATGGAAAAAAATAGGTTGTCACAGATCCAAACAAACATGCTTTATTGATTATCCTCGGAATTTTTTTATTTTTATTGCAAATACAAGATGGATTGGACATTTCTTTCTCTTTAGAGTAAATAAAATTTCTTTTGTGTTAGAATTTAATAAAATTTATAAAATAAACACCAAGTTTTTAGCAAATTTTTCTCAAAGAATTCTTGCTTCAAGAACTCAATCCATTAGTTATGTAATTACTAATTGGATTCCATTACAAAGTCCTTAATAAGGAGAAATATTTCTTAGTAGCATCATCAAAGTCTCAATTTTAAGACAAAGCCTTAATTTGGATAGTCTAGATAGATTAAGCGATTTGATAAATTTGACTAAATAAACATTATTCTTATCAATACCATCTTCAATAACAACTTCATTAGTACTTAAATATTCTTGTTCTTCTTTGAAAAATATCGCCATAATCTTTTCATTAATATCTTCTATATTATCATTTTTATATATAAAATTATTTTATTTCTAAAAAGACATCATTTGCTACACTATCTTCTTTGAGCCTTCAATAAAGAACATCTACTAAGGACATTAATTATTGATCAACAATTATGAGATCAAGAAGCTTAATTACATTACTAGGTAATAATTTTGTGTTATTTCTAATTTTGAAAGTGACAAGTAAAAATACTAGTCAATAATAATACAACCATAAAGAATTCAAATGCACCACCATCTATATATACAACATGTATGTGCATTCTATACCTGAAGAAGCTAATTAGCAAACTTAATATCTACTTGAAGTGCTCTTGAATTCAACCTCATGTTTGCTTTGATACCAAAGTATTTAACATTGAAAAATTAGTGCTAGAATTTCTTCTTGAGTTCTTTTTATAATTATTGGCAATATTTGGAAAAAAATTTAACCAAAAACTATTATTGCTCTTAAAAATGGGTAATCAATATTTGGAATGTCTCTAAATGAACAATCAACTATCATAGGATAATAACAATGTTACATTGGAAGTTCATCTCAAATAATAATCAAAGTTTGGTGAATAAACTCAATATAGTTGAAATTCTTAGTAATTAAACAAAAATAGTCTTTATTACAATCTAGTAGAATCTTGAACATAGAATAGACAGTTCTTTCTCTTTTAAGTAACAATGTAATAATTTTTGATGATGCAACATATATGACAATATTTTGTATTAATCAAACTTTAGTTGCTAAAGTATTGCAGATAAATGTCTTAGTAGTTCTTGCAAGTTTGTTTAGAAAAAAACATGCATCCATGTTTTTCTATTATGGAAGCCACAATATAATTTTATGTCTTTTTTTGTTCAAGATTTAATTGTAGAATATACTACTTCAAATTTTCTTATAATTATTAAATATCCCATATTCTTTCTTTAGTAATAAATTAATTTCAATAAATTATTGCATTCCAATTATTTCTTAGTAATGGCATTGGAAGAAACTATGCAAGTGTTCTATCAAAGTCTTGCAAAATCTTATCCAGCAAGAAAAGTCCAAAATCCTTAATCTGTTCCTCTGTTGGATTGCTAATTCTATGTTTTTTTTGCAAATAAGCATTGACATCATCTAAATTGCTTTTCCAAAAATCTTTTTCATAGATTTAATGGATTTAGTATATTTTTGTGTAATAAAAAAATAACAAATAATGACCTTAATTGAGATTCAATTTGTATTCTTGATGCTTTTTCTAAACATTGTTACCACTTTCTATCATCTTCAAAGAATCCTAAAGCTACATATCATTTTTAAATGTTGGATGGAAAATTTCATGAATAATCTTTAAGTGCTTAAATGATTATAGACCTTTAAAATAGATTAATAAAAGCCTCAAATAATATCTTTAAGATTTGGAAAGATTTAAAAAATATAATCTTTCAATATTAAATCCATATTTTTTTAACATCTACGTCCTTCTTGTCTTATACCAAATAAAATAATGTAGAAGTTGTTAGTATGTATATTGTCTTCCCACTGCAATTACTATACACATTTCAAAAAATGAAATTAATGTTGTCTTTTGTCTTTTAGCATGTTCTAAAATTACAGCTACCTTGTCATATGGATCATATACCCTTGGATGCATTCTTGAAAGATGAACAACTGTACAAACATTATTTGGCATTTCTTCATGGATCCACATGCCAAAAAGTTTCTAAGCAACCTCCAAAGCTCCAATATAACTTACATCTAAATATTATTTGATCTCTTATTGGTTTTTAAATTGCATTGTAATGCAATTATAGCCTTTATAGATGTATTTGTAGATATACCATAAATTATAGAATAACTTTGAATAGCTTTCAATTATTATCTTTATTTAAAAATTTTCTAAACATCATATGATCTACATCTCTAATACATTTAATCTTGCTTTTTCTATCGACAAAAATTAAAATGTATATATAAGGTAGACATCTCTTTTGAAATTCACTAGTATAAACATATACAACAACATGACCAAATACAACTCCTTTCTTTATATCTTCCATAATTTCACGTTTTTTGAGCTTAAATATAGGGGCAACTAAATCTTGCTAGTCACTTGCTCGTTGTCCTTAAAGCAATTCTTTCTAGATTTTGAACTATCTTAGATTTGCTATCACTATCATAAAAATATCAAGATGCTGATAAAATCTTGTAAATTCCATAGAATCTTAAAGTATTTCTATCATATATCTTATATTTTTAATATGTGATAATGGAAGTAAGATCCTACATCTTAAATTATTTAATTCATATTATCCTTCTTCATGCCTAGTAATTTGATGAGTTATAACAACATCCACTAATCTTTGGTATAAATTAGTAAGTAGTTTTTTTATTATTATAATATAGATATTATAAACTTCATTACCTAATTGCTACCTATTTGTCAACTATAAATTCTTTTAATAGCTTTCTTCTACTTAAAATTGTAGAATATTTAATAGGCCTTACAAAAATTAATAAGAAAAATAATCCATTTTATAAGGTTGTTGCTTCTTCAATCATTTCATCCAACACCTTCTTTTTCTTCAACAATATCCATCACTATATTTTGCACTCTTAGATCAAGATGCTATCTAAGGATTCCATGTGAAAAAAAGAGAATATATTGAAGGAACAAATAAGCAAGATTAGCCTCATGAATCCTTTCTAATAGCCCATTATTACGTAGGCAAATAATAATATCACAAAGTACATTATATACCGATCCATTTCTAAGTGATATAATAGCAATTTCTTCAAAAAAGGT